TCCTGGAGACAAGTCCTGGATAAGGTCATAGTGTCCTGGAGTGTCCATTGAGGTTCCATGACGGCTCTCACGCTCCCTGATCCATGTTTCTTCCTTCCAGGCCGCCATCTTGGCTGCTCTCAGCTCTTTGATGGGATGGGCCGGGAGTTCGCTCACGCTTGGCAACTCGGTGACATCCACTTCAATGACGATGAACATTTTGTGCCCCCGAACAGTGAGCAGGGGATCAGTCTGCTGAAGGTAAGGGACGCATGATGATCACATGACTGCGCAGATTGCCGGACACATGAGACAGTTCCTGTATTTGAAGGGGTCGTCCACCCAAAGATGACCTTCCACTTGTAGATGGGGCCTGTTGGTCTTTCTATGGGGGCCCCCGGTGAGGAGATCCTTGTCTGGTTTCTTGGGGTGTTCCATGAGATCCGTGATGAAGGCAACACGCAGAGTGGGACACCCCAATAATGGGTGCGGCAGGTGTGCCGAGATCTGACCGCCGGAGCCCGTGTTGGGTCTACATGACTCCGGAGGACACAAGGAGACCATTGGCCAATGTCATGCTGTCATGTATGTTGTATGTGTGTGGTGATCAGTACATGTGTGTCTCCTGCAGGTGGCAGTACATGAGATCGGTCATGTCCTGGGTCTCAGTCACATGAATGAGTTGAAGTCTGTCATGCAGCCAAACTACATCCCGGCCAATAGAGGGATGGAGCTGGACACGGTGGACCGCCGGGCCATTCAGAAGATCTATGGTGAGTGATGAGCCTATCCGGTGATATTTCCATTTACAGATCCCACCAGATCCCCTTCACCATACCCTGCAAATATACCGATCCCACCAGATCCCCTTCACCACAGTCTTCCGATATACAGATCCCACCAGATCCCCTTTACCATACCCTGCAGATATACAGATCCCACCAGATCCCCTTCACCATACCCTGCAAATATACTGATCCCACCAGATCCCCTTCACCATACCCTGCAGATGTACTGATCCCACCAGATCCCCTTCACCATACACTACAGATATACAGATCCCACCAGATCCCCTTCACCATACCCTGTGGATATACAGATCCCACCAGATCCCCTTCACCATACCCTGCGGATATACAGATCCCACCAGATCACCTCCACCATACACTACAGATATACAGATCCCACCAGATCCCCTTCACCATACCCTGCAGATGTACTGATCCCACCAGATCACCTTCACCATACCCTGCAGATATACAGATCCCACCAGATACCCTTCACCATACCCTGCAGATATACCGATCCCACCAAATCCCCTTCACCATACCCTGTGGATATACAGATCCCACCAGATCACCTCCACCATACACTACAGATATACAGATCCCACCAGATACCCTTCACCATACACTACAGATATACCGATCCCACCAGATCCCCTTCACCATACCCTGCAGATATACCGATCCCACCAAATCCCCTTCACCATACCCTGTGGATATACAGATCCCACCAGATCACCTCCACCATATCCTGCAGATATACAGATCCCACCAGATCCCCTTCACCATACACTACAGATATACAGATCCCACCAGATCCCCTTCACCATACACTACAGATATACAGATCCCACCAGATCCCCTTCACCATACCCTGCAGATATACAGATCCCACCAGATCCCCTTCACCATACACTACAGATATACAGATCCCACCAGATCCCCTTCATCATACACTACAGATATACCGATCCCACCAGATCCCCTTCACCATACACTACAGATCTACCGATCCCAACAGATCCCCTTTACCATACCCTGCAGATATACAGATCCCACCAGATCCCCTTTACCATACCCTGCAGATATACAGATCCCACCAGATCTCCTTCACCATACCCTGCAGATATACCAATCCCACCAGATCCCCTTTACCATACACTGCAGATATACAGATCCCACCGGATCCCCTTCACCATACCCTGAAGATATACAGATCCCACCAGATCCCCTTTACCATACCCTGCAGATATACAGATCCCACCGGATCCCCTTTACCATACCCTGCAGATATACAGATCCCACCAGATCCCCTTTACCAAACCCTGCAGATATACAGATCCCACCGGATAAACTTCTTCATAGTCTACAGACGTATAGATGACACTAGATGGTCTTCACCATAATCCACAGATTTCTAGATCCCACCAGATCATGTTTGGTGGTGGTTTGGTGGCTGCCCTCAGATGCGGCACACTACCTGGTAATCTATGTGTGGCATTATATCGGCGTCCTCGCCCCTCTCTGCTATAAATCCGGTGATCACCAACAGAAGAGAAATGTGCTCACATGTTTCTCATCGTCACTCCGGTGATTGGTCGGCTGATCCGTGGTGTCTCCTGGCCTCATCCTGTGGTGTTGTGTGATTGGTGGAGATGGTTTCTCTGACATATGTTGGGTCTGGGTTCCATGTACAAGGCATATGTTGGGTCTGGGTTCCGTGTACAAGGCATATGTTGGGTCTGGGTTCCGTGTATAAGGGATATGTTGGGTCTGGGTTCCGTGTACAAAGCATATGTTGGGTCTGGTTTCCATGTACAAGGCATATGTTGGGTCTGGGTTCCGTGTACAAAGCATATGTTGGGTCTGGTTTCCATGTACAAGGCATATGTTGGGTCTGGGTTCCGTGTATAAGGGATATGTTGGGTCTGGGTTCCGTGTACAAAGCATATGTTGGGTCTGGTTTCCATGTAAAAGGCATATGTTGGGTCTGGGTTCCGTGTACAAGGCATATGTTGGGTCTGGGTTCCATGTACAAGGCATATGTTGGGTCTGGGTTCCGTGTACAAGGCATATGTTGGGTCTGGGTTCCGTGTACAAGGCATATGTTGGGTCTGGGTTCCGTGTATAAGGGATATGTTGGGTCTGGGTTCCGTGTACAAAGCATATGTTGGGTCTGGTTTCCATGTACAAGGCATATGTTGGGTCTGGGTTCCGTGTACAAAGCATATGTTGGGTCTGGTTTCCATGTACAAGGCATATGTTGGGTCTGGGTTCCGTGTATAAGGGATATGTTGGGTCTGGGTTCCGTGTACAAAGCATATGTTGGGTCTGGTTTCCATGTAAAAGGCATATGTTGGGTCTGGGTTCCGTGTACAAGGCATATGTTGGGTCTGGGTTCCATGTACAAGGCATATGTTGGGTCTGGGTTCCGTGTACAAGGCATATGTTGGGTCTGGGTTCCGTGTATAAGGGATATGTTGGGTCTGGGTTCCGTGTACAAAGCATATGTTGGGTCTGGTTTCCATGTACAAGGCATATGTTGGGTCTGGGTTCCGTGTACAAAGCATATGTTGGGTCTGGTTTCCATGTACAAGGCATATGTTGGGTCTGGGTTCCGTGTATAAGGGATATGTTGGGTCTGGGTTCCGTGTACAAAGCATATGTTGGGTCTGGTTTCCATGTAAAAGGCATATGTTGGGTCTGGGTTCCGTGTACAAGGCATATGTTGGGTCTGGGTTCCATGTACAAGGCATATGTTGGGTCTGGGTTCCGTGTACAAGGCATATGTTGGGTCTGGGTTCCGTGTACAAGGGATATGTTGGGTCTGGGTTCCGTGTACAAAGCATATGTTGGGTCTGGTTTCCATGTACAAGGCATATGTTGGGTCTGGGTTCCGTGTACAAGGCATATGTTGGGTCTGGGTTCCGTGTACAAGGGATATGTTGGGTCTGGGTTCCGTGTACAAAGCATATGTTGGGTCTGGTTTCCATGTAAAAGGCATATGTTGGGTCTGGGTTCCGTGTACAAGGCATATGTTGGGTCTGGGTTCCATGTACAAGGCATATGTTAGGTCTGGGTTCCGTGTACAAGGCATATGTTGGGTCTGGGTTCCGTGTACAAGGCGTATGTTGGGTCTGGGTTCCGTGTATAAGGCGCATGTTGGGTCTGGGTTTCATGTACAGGGCATATGTCTGGTCTGGGTTCCGTGTACAAGGCGTATGTTGGGTCTGGGTTCTGTGTACAAGGCATATGTTGGGTCTGGGTTCCGTGTACAAGGCATATGTTGGGTCTGGGTTCCGTGTATAAGGCATATGTTGGGTTTTGTGGTTTCCGGTACAGGTCGGTGTTCTGGTCGGTTCAGCACCGTGTTTGATTGGCTGCACCAGGATCGCAGTGCTCCGGGAAAGTGGATCTTCCGGACGTACTTCTTCCGGAAAGGCTGGTACTGGATGTATGAGAACGTCAATAACAGGCCGCGGTACCGAGACCCCCGAAGATTGGCCGGCGGCTGGAAAGGGATCCCCTCTTCTGACATCGACGCCTTCATCCACATCGGAACATGGGGCAAGAATCTGACCTTCTTCCTGAAAGGTAGGAGGCCTCAGACATGGGGGGAGGGGAGGGGTCAACCCACACTGGCCTCTTACTGACTCCACCCTGAGATCTCTACTTCCACCGACCTTGGGGCCTTGTGTCCACCTTGGGGTGTCCCCTCTCATCTCCTAGGGTTGGGATGGTAGTGGCCTCAGCAGCTGGTCAGACCAGGGAACCCAGAATTGGATTTTGGTACTGAATGAAGGGTTAGGGGTAGCCCAGGCCTACCCTAAAATGTGACCTTCCCTTCCCCCAATCCCTAAATTGTCACTGGACCTTGCTGTGAACAGCTGTGGAAAATCTTTGTTTTTGGCACCCCATGGGATTCATCCTCGGGATCTCTAGCAGTGTGCGGTATGGGGGGTCAGGTGTGGTGGGCACAGGGTAATAGATCACTATAACGGAGGACATCCCACTCCATCTACATAGTGAACTTCTGCGTGTCCAGGAGATCTTCAGCAGATGACAGGTTCTCTTTCCTTCTGGTTTTCATTTTCTCCATCCATATTCACCTCTCCAGGTACTCAATACTGGCGCTATGACAACGACAAGGACCAGGCTTATACACAGGACCCCGAGGGAATTACGTACCCCCGATTAATCTCCGAAGGCTTTCCCGGCATCACCGGTCCCATTGACACGGCGTTTTATGACCGCCAGGATAAAAATGTCTATTTCTTCCGAGGTAGAAATGTGAGTAATTCACCAAACATGATGAAGGACGTGGCTGAGAATTGGTTGGGGCTGTACTGTGGGCATTCGAAATCCTCTAGCCTACCATGCTCACCATGTCCACCATGCCCACCATGTCCACCATGCCCACTATGCCCACCATGCCCACCATGCCCACCATGCCCACTATGCTCACCATACTCACAATGCCCACCATGTCCACCATGCTCACCATGTCCACAATGCCCACTATGCTCACCATGCTCCCCATGTCCACTATGCTCACCATGCTCACTACAGCCCCAACCCTGACCCTACAGCCCTAACTATGATCCAACAGCCCTCAACCCGACCATACAGCCCTAACCCTGACCCTGCAGCCCTAACCCTGACCCTACAGCCCCAACCCTGACCATACAGCCCCAACCCTGACCATACAGCCCTAACCCTGACCATACAGCCCCAACCCTGACCATACAGCCCCAACCCTGACCATACAGCCCTAACCCTGACCCTACAGCCCCAACCCTGACCCTACAGCCCCAACCCTGACCATACAGCCCCAACCCTGACCATACAGCCCCAACCCTGACCCTACAGCCCCAACCCCGACCATACAGCCCTAACCCTGACCATACAGCCCCAACCCTGACCCTACAGCCCCAACCCTGACCATACAGCCCCAACCCTGACCCTACAGCCCCAACCCTGACCCTACAGCCCCAACCCTGACCCTACAGCCCTAACCCTGACCATACTGCCCTCAACCAAACCCTACAGCCCTAACCCTGACCCTACAGCCCTAATGCTAATCCACTCCACTGCAGATAGAGATAAAAAAGGATGACAACTCGGCACTTGTATGATCCCCATTTCTGAATGCTGTGATTGGTCCATTCCAGTCTAGGTGCCTCTTCTCCACTCTGATGGCCTATCGGAAGCCTTGACCTTCTCTGTCTCTCCTACAGGTGACCGCGTTCAGTGTAGCCAATCACAAGGTTGTCCCTGGCTACCCTAAGGCCATCGTTGATGTCTTCCCTCCATTGATCCCGGGAGACCACCCCATGAGTGACCTGGATGCTGTGTACTTCTCCTTCACCCACAGGACCGTGTTCTTCATCAAGGACACATACGTGTGGAGGATGGCCGTAAGAAAAGAGAACCAGGATGTCCCCCACAATGCATTGCTCCCACGACTGGCGGTCAGCGAGCAGTGGTTGGATATCTGCGATGTTCATCCGTCAATGCTTACGGTTCCGAGAAGATAAAGCTCTGACGAATGGACCAATAATATCGAGTCACCACGAGATCCGGAGGTCCCACTGACAAAGCCAAGAGTTATATTATCTCTTCATGGCGGATTATCGGTAATACTTTGTACAAGTCTTCCAGAGAAGATACCAACAGGACTGGTGCCGGGTCCCTCCGAACCCAGGACACCCCTGGACATGCCACAGGTGACCTGATATGTTGCCTCCATGTCTCCCCCGTCTCTCCTCTTCCATGTCTCTTCATCCTTCTCTCCCCTTTAGCACTTTATAATGTCTGATGGAGTTCAGCAGCCTTGGAACTCACCAGTCTCCTGGTGTACTGCGCAGCTTCTGGCTGGCTGGAAGCTTCCAGTACACTTCCTGCCAATCACAGGAAATGCGGGCCACACTCTCTGACCTGCTGCGCTCCTGTAGATGTAAGAGGGTCCTGCAGGGGCGGCACTCAAGATCTGCCCTAGGGCAAGGAACTCCATCGGGAGCTGCCACACCTACAGATCTGGCAGCACAATATATCAGAACAGCGCCCCCGGTGGCCAGACCCAGATCTCATCCTAGACGTGAGCCCCTCCATGTAACTCTCAGCACGGAGAGCTCTAGATATGTAATGTGTCCTCATAGTCCAACGTTCCTTCACTTGAGGAAGAACTCTGACAGACGAAGCAATGTTCTGCGGCTGCAATAAATTATCATGATGATAGCGTGGTGTCATTCCTGGTCTTTGTGTTCCCGTATATGAATCCATCATGTGTGTGCCTCTCCGGGGGGTAGTTCCATCAGACGTGGAGCATGAGGGGTCCGGTCACATGTTGGCCTTCTACATCTCTTGATGACTCTTGGTTTAACCCAATGGACTTGCACCTCCATAGTGACTCCCATAGGCACAAACACTTAGCTATGCTCTCTAGCGCCATCTAGTGGTCAGATAGGAGAACTGCGCTCTATCACCTTGTATGTAACTCCAGCAGTGAGCTGTCCCAGCCATGGTTACTGCTCTGTTTTCACCTACCCCCAGGTGTATCTAACCACCTCCGGGTGTATCTGTCCATCTCAGGGTGTATCTAACCACCTCCGGGTGTATCTGTCCATCTCAGGGTGTATCTAACCACCTCCGGGTGTATCTGTCCATCTCAGGGTGTATCTAACCACCTCCGGGTGTATCTGTCCATCTCAGGGTGTATCTAACCACCTCCGGGTGTATCTGTCCATCTCACGGTGTATCTAACCACATCCGGGTGTATCTGTCCATCTCAAGGTGTATCTGTCCATCTCAAGGTGTATCTGACCACATCCGGGTGTATCTGTCCATCTCAGGGTGTATCTAACCACCTCAGGGTGTATCTGTCAATCTCAGGGTGTATCTAACCACCTCCGGGTGTATCTGTCCATCTCAAGGTGTATCTGTCAATCTCAGGGTGTATCTAACCACCTCCAGGTGTATCTGTCCATCTCAGGGTGTTTCTGTCCATCTCAAGATGTATCTAACCACCTCCGGGTGTATCTGTCCATCTCAAGGTGTATCTAACCACCTCCGGGTGTATCTGTCCATCTCAGGGTGTATCTAACCACCTCAGGGGTCTCCTCCGCCTACTGTTGGCTTCCTCATGATATAAATGAGCTCTGCGGGGGCGGGATCCCTCATAAGGCCTACGGACAGAACCCTGTAATGCGGTTTAAAGGGAACAGATGAGGAAGGAGTCAACTTCGCAGAGAACCACAGGTGTAAATGTCTGGCTTAGCCCCGCCCCCGCCAGGCCTTCTGATTGGTCATTAAGGATGATGGAAAGGGGTGTGGCCAAGCTTGGCCAGGCCGGATCTCAGCATTTGCTCAGGTTGAATGGGCCGGACTTGTGACAGGTACACTTTGATTATCCAGCAACCCTCAAACCCTGAATATCTCCTCGGGACGGAGTGGCCCTTTAGCTGTGTTGGGTTGTATTCATGTATGGTCGGGTCTGAGAGATCTGGTCATAGGACATGGGAAGGACATGGGACTAACCACATCCGGGTGTATCTGTCCATCTCAGGGTGTATCTAACCACCTCAGGGTGTATCTGTCAATCTCAGGGTGTATCTAACCACCTCCGGGTGTATCTGTCCATCTCAAGGTGTATCTGTCAATCTCAGGGTGTATCTAACCACCTCCAGGTGTATCTGTCCATCTCAGGGTGTTTCTGTCCATCTCAAGATGTATCTAACCACCTCCGGGTGTATCTGTCCATCTCAAGGTGTATCTAACCACCTCCGGGTGTATCTGTCCATCTCAGGGTGTATCTAACCACCTCAGGGGTCTCCTCCGCCTACTGTTGGCTTCCTCATGATATAAATGAGCTCTGCGGGGGCGGGATCCCTCATAAGGCCTACGGACAGAACCCTGTAATGCGGTTTAAAGGGAACAGATGAGGAAGGAGTCAACTTCGCAGAGAACCACAGGTGTAAATGTCTGGCTTAGCCCCGCCCCCGCCAGGCCTTCTGATTGGTCATTAAGGATGATGGAAAGGGGTGTGGCCAAGCTTGGCCAGGCCGGATCTCAGCATTTGCTCAGGTTGAATGGGCCGGACTTGTGACAGGTACACTTTGATTATCCAGCAACCCTCAAACCCTGAATATCTCCTCGGGACGGAGTGGCCCTTTAGCTGTGTTGGGTTGTATTCATGTATGGTCGGGTCTGAGAGATCTGGTCATAGGACATGGGAAGGACATGGGGAGGGGGGGGAGGGGGGGTAGTGTGTACGGACCCCTCGGCGGTCTATGGCGGTGGCCAAGCTGTGACTCCTCCGGTGACCTCACTCTCACTTCCACTGATGGTGGCACGGCCCCTCTAGTCACCCAGAATGTGGCCCCTGTAGACGTCGCCCATACCAGAGGCGGCGGGGGAGGGGGGGAATTATTTCCACATAACACCGGAGATAAGACAATCCTTCAGGAATCTTATTTTACCCAAAACACAGCCGGAGGGACGCCGGGTCACCGCTGAACACGTGACCAGAACAGAAGAAGATATAACTGGGTGTATCCTCTGGGTGAGGTCCGTACCCGGTACCGAGGGCAGAATACGGGGGGGGGGCACCCCAGGAAATGGAGATAGGGTTGCCACCTGTCCGGGATTCACCCAGACACTCCGGGTTTCATGGCAGCAGGAAAGATGTCAGGCAGACCGGGGCAACCAAAATTAGGATGGGGGCTACTAGAGTGTTCGGGTTTCGCTTGAAGAAAAAGTGGCAACCCTGAGGCCCCGTTCACACGTAGCGACTTATCTCGCGATTTCCGCCGCGATATTGCGAGAAGTCGCCGGCTAATGATAGTCAATGGAGCTGTCTTAGCTCCATGTCGCTCGCCGCGGTCGCAGGTCGCTTCTACAGGACACTTTTTTCGGCGGATTTTGCTTTTTTCCTAATGGAGCCGAACGGAGAAGGTGGCGCTACCGTCGCTGGAACGTCGCCCCGAAAGTCGCGCTATCCCGGCCGCTGCAAAGGTATGTCGCTACGTGTGAATGGGGCCTAAATGGAGATGACAGCGTGTTACATTATATTGTAGGAGAAGTTACAATGTGGCGGCCGCTGATCTCACATCCAGACGTTCACCTGCCTCAGATTTGGCGCAGACACACCGGGGGGTCCTCAGCTACTTTGGGTGATGTCCCGGGTGTCTGGTGTCTAGGAGGAGGCTACATCCAGGGAAACATACACACACATGACTATACACACACATGACTATACACACATGACTATACACACATGACTACACACACATGACTACACACACACGACTATACACACACACATGACTACACACGCATGACCACACACATGCTCCATTGTTGGGAAGAGATTTATCAGAGGAACATGAGAACCTGGATCATGTGTTGGGGATCTTCTGTATTCCCATCAGGTGTGTGACTGCCCCCTGCTGGTGATCTGGCGGTACTGCAGCTCTATGTACAGGTGATATGTATGAAGATATGACTGTGTGATATACAGATTGTGGACTGATGAAGGTGCAGATGGTGGGGGAGTTAGGATTTAGAAAGGTATTGAACTGGATCAGGTAGTTATGGGTTCAGGTAAGTTTGGATCAGGTAGGTGTGGATTCAGGTAAGTTTGGAGCAGGTAGGTGTGGATTCAGGAAAGTTTGGAGCAGGTAGGTGTGGATTCAGGAAAGTTTGGAGCAGGTAGGTGTGGATTCAGGAAAGTTTGGAGCAGGTAGGTGTGGATTCAGGAAAGTTTGGAGCAGGTAGGTGTGGATTCAGGAAAGTTTGGAGCAGGTAGGTGTGGATTCAGGAAAGTTTGGAGCAGGTAGGTGTGGATTCAGGAAAGTTTGGAGCAGGTAGGTGTGGATTCAGGAAAGTTTGGAGCAGGTAGGTGTGGATTCAGGAAAGTTTGGAGCAGGTAGGTGTGGATTCAGGAAAGTTTGGAGCAGGTAGGTGTGGATTCAGGAAAGTTTGGAGCAGGTAGGTGTGGATTCAGGAAAGTTTGGAGCAGGTAGGTGTGGATTCAGGAAAGTTTGGAGCAGGTAGGTGTGGATTCAGGAAAGTTTGGAGCAGGTAGGTGTGGATTCAGGAAAGTTTGGAGCAGGTAGGTGTGGATTCAGGAAAGTTTGGAGCAGGTAGGTGTGGATTCAGGAAAGTTTGGAGCAGGTAGGTGTGGATTCAGGAAAGTTTGGAGCAGGTAGGTGTGGATTCAGGAAAGTTTGGAGCAGGTAGGTGTGGATTCAGGAAAGTTTGGAGCAGGTAGGTGTGGATTCAGGAAAGTTTGGAGCAGGTAGGTGTGGATTCAGGAAAGTTTGGAGCAGGTAGGTGTGGATTCAGGAAAGTTTGGAGCAGGTAGGTGTGGATTCAGGAAAGTTTGGAGCAGGTAGGTGTGGATTCAGGAAAGTTTGGAGCAGGTAGGTGTGGATTCAGGAAAGTTTGGAGCAGGTAGGTGTGGATTCAGGAAAGTTTGGAGCAGGTAGGTGTGGATTCAGGAAAGTTTGGAGCAGGTAGGTGTGGATTCAGGAAAGTT